CTCACAGGACAGATTAAAGGCAAGAGGTAGAGAAGAAAATGTATAAAATATTTAGCCAGTTTGGGATTTACGAGAAATAGCAAAAAGATAAAACCTATTTAAGAGCTCCAAAGAACAGGAAATTGTGGAGACCCATGATCAGCTACATCATTAGGGGACATGGCCAATAAAGTTCTTCACTAAGACCCATATTTATTTTTTCTCCTACTAGTTTCTTTATTACCGCTTATATTAGTTTTTACACCAATTTTTCATATTTCTTTTACTTCTTTTACATCTAACAACTTCTTCATCCTTTTGGACTAATGCAGGTGACCCCAGGGCTCTATCCTTGGTCCTACTTAGTTTTTAATTTTGACTAACGACTTTCGGGATGTCATCAGCTCTCAACTTGGTATCTATGCTGATGACACAACCATTTACTCCTGTCTTGATAGTCTGATCAGTTTGATAAGATCAAATTGGCACCTGATCTCAAAAATGATCTACAGTCTGTTGTTAACTGGGGCAAAGAATGGCTTGTTAATTTTAATGCCTCCAAAACAAAACTGCCTTTCATTGATCATCTGAGAGACCATCATTATGCTAACCTCCAAGAGAGTGACTCGTAGCACCATCTCAGCTGACATGAAGTGGAAAGAATCCATTGCTATTTCCGCTGCTAAGAAAATTGGTTCACTCTGTCATGATACACCATTTCTCTCTCCAGAATCTATCTTACATACCTATAAACCTAACATTCATCCATGCTTGAAATATTGTTGCTACATATGGTCCATTGCTTCTGCAATTTATTTAGAGATTCTTGATAAAATTCAAACAAGAATCAGCAATATTATTGGTTCTGACCTGGCAACTCAGCTTCAGTCACTTTCTCTTTGTTGTAATGTAACTTCCTGGTGCCCTTTCTATAAATACCTTCATGGTAATTGTTTGGATGAGCTCTTCATTATGGTACCTAGATTTAATGAATTTAAGCACAGTACTAGATTGGCAACAAGGTCACATCAATATACATTTGAATTGGCTATATGTTCCTATAAGTTCTATGCTAACAGTTTCTTTTCTCACACTTCTGACTTGTGGAACTCTCTTCTGGCTCCTTGCTTTCTGGTCAAATTTGACCTTCAAAAATTTAAATAAAATGCCAGTTGTTATTTATTCTCTTCCTGATTACTCTTGTATAATGTTTCTGGTTTTTAATTCTTTCACACCCAGTAACCCCTTGTGACTTAGTGGATTTACTATGTTGCTTGGAGTAAAATCAATATAGGACTGACAATCCCCCACCAAAAAAGATGGGGTAAAAGGCCATGTTCTATTTAATCCCAACTCTATGAACTCTAGTGACATATTGCAAAATTCTTACTTTTGCTCAAAAGAACTTGCCAGTTGAGAAATGGGTGAATTCAATCATATTCAAATGAAATGTAACATTTGTTTTAAATTAATTTTTTTCTCTTGATTCTCTGAAATGTCTTTGTACCTTTGCTTGAATATATATATATATATATATATATACCGATAATATGCTTGTTAACATAATATAAATTGATTGGGGTCGCAACATTTAATGAAGTTTTTTTTTTTTGGTGCTGATTGACTGGAATTATGGGAATGCAGTTTGAAAAAGTTGATATTTGGACTTATACTAAGTCAGGTATGTATACATGTTTGTGCTGGGGCATCTGTGGACCACAGCTCAAATCTCTAAATAAGTTATCTGAAAGCTCATTCTTTGAAATAATTTATCTGGGAGTCGAACCAAGGATTTTTATTTTTTTTTTTTTTAAGAAAGAGTAGATAGGCTCAACAATCACATGGTTCATACACCTCCCCCTTCTCTTGAACAGTAGAGGCTCATCTTTTGTATCCTTTTTAAGAAGGGGTTCTTGATTCCTTTCCTTGGGCCTTAAATTTGGTGCTGTAATGAATTTCTTGTGATATGCATGGATGGTGGAAATATCTGTACATACTGAAGGTACAGGGGTGTCAGTTTTCTGGTTACTGTTCCTGACTGGCAGTTAGGAGCCCAAACTCTTGTGCAGTGGCTTGAGGGGCTGCTCTGATCAACAATTGCATAATATCATGGTTCTTGCAGTGCCAAGTCATACATGGAAGGTTGTCTCAGCAAGCGCCTCAGATAGACAACCCCGAGGCCATACTATGTTGCAGTCTGCCTCAATTCCCTTCCCTCATACGTCACATTAGACACTACTACCCTAGGCCTTTTCCCTACTAATATAACGCAACATGACTATAAACAACCAAAGATATAAACCTAAACAAGCTCAACAAAAAAACACCTAAATCACTTAACCTTTCTTTCTCCAACATTCATGCTATTTTTACCAACTTCTGCAGTGTGGAATTGTTCCACTTCAAAAAGAAAGAAAATTACCATGTTGATGCATATTCATTTTATTCAAAGCACTTTCGACATTAGCAGAATGTCATCATCAGTGTCTTGATTTTTTTAAGACAAAAAATTGGTAGGGGATCATGGATCTCCACTTCCCCCTATCCCTTGTAGCTCTCAATAAGTTGTGTCCCTTTGATACTTCCCCCAGGCCATGTTCTGTCATCCACTTGCTTAAGCCTACTAGGTATGTCATACATTGCTTTCCCTTGTCTCCTTTTCTCTCTGTTCGACCTGTGGGTATCAGATTCTCCAAGCCCTCCTTACTCATTGTGTCCTAGAGATTTCTGTATCCTCTCCAAAACCTCATCGTTACTCACACGCTCGGTCCACGATATACTTAGCATCCTTTTGTAGAGACATACCTCCGTTGCCTCGAGTCTCTTCTTCATCTTTGAGGAGACCGTCCAGCATTCGCTGCTGTAAAGGAGGACAGATGTCATGTACAATAAGGATGTGTCTTCTCACCAGACC